CACTCAGTCACACTCTCTCTCTCCATGGCAACCACTCATTCACAATCTATCTCCATGGTGACCACTCATTCACAATCTGTCTCCATGGTGACCACTCAGTCACACTCTCTCTCTCCATGGCAACCACTCATTCACAATCTGTCTCCATGGCGACCACTCATTCACAATCTGTCTCCATGGCAACCACTCATTCACAATCTCCATGGCAACCACTCATTCGCAATCTCTCTCCATGGCAACCACTCATTTACAGGCGAGGTTTTTAACATATCATACAGAGACAGACCCACAAAGACCCATAGACCCATACAGCAGACATCATCAGGGTCGGGGATCGAACCCCCGACCAGGCGAGGTAGTTAACATCTCGCTACGGGGGGAGAGAGAGCGAGACACGCAAACTCCAAATATACAGCAGCAGACGTCAGGGTCGGGATCGAACCAACGATCTCCTTCTGCATACCAGGCGAGGTAGTTAACATCTCCTAGTCACCGTGATGATGAGAGAGAGCGAGACACGCAAACTCCAAATATACAGCAGCAGACGTCAGGGTCGGGATCGAACCAACGATCTCCTTCTGCATACCAGGCGAGGGAGTTAACATCTCCTAGTCACCGTGATGATGAGAGAGAGCGAGACACGCAAACTCCAAATATACAGCAGCAGACGTCAGGGTCGGGATCGAACCAACGATCTCCTTCTGCATACCAGGCGAGGGAGTTAACATCTCCTAGTCACCGTGATGATGAGAGAGAGCGAGACACGCAAACTCCAAATATACAGCAGCAGACGTCAGGGTCGGGATCGAACCAACGATCTCCTTCTGCATACCAGGCGAGGTAGTTAACATCTCCTAGTCACCGTGATGATGAGAGAGAGAGAGACACGCAAACTCCAAATATACAGCAGCAGGTCTCAGGGTCAGGATCGAACCCACGATCTCCTGCACACCAGGCGAGGTGGTTAACATCTCCTAGTCACCGTGATGATGATGAGAGAGAGAGAGACACGCAAACTCCAAATATACAGCAGCAGCAGGCCTCAGGGTCAGGATCGAACCCACGACCTCCTGCACACCAGGCAAGGTAGTTAACATCTCCTAGTCACCGTGATGATGAGAGAGAGAGAGACACGCAAACTCCAAATATACAGCAGCAGCAGGCCTCAGGGTCAGGATCGAACCCACGACCTCCTGCACACCAGGCGAGGTAGTTAACATCTCCTAGTCACCGTGATGATGAGAGAGAGAGAGACACGCAAACTCCAAATATACAGCAGCAGCAGGCCTCAGGGTCAGGATCGAACCCACGACCTCCTGCACACCAGGCGAGGTGGCTAACATCTCGCGGCTCCCCCAACTCTGCCCAGGTGGACGAAGGGGACGTGTACGACGAGGAGGAATTCGAGGGGATGGACGGTCCAGCCACCCCCAAGCGGCAGGGGGAGCAGCCCCTGCACATCCGCCAGGTCAGTCGCTTGCGGCACCTCGTGCGTCCGCCGAGCACGGAGCCCGCAGCTAGAGCAGGCGTCTCTCGCGCCTCGGTCGTGGGTGCCAACCCCCGACGTGGCGCCGCTCCCGCCGGGTTCCCGTTTCTTCGCCGCGGGCCGGCGCCGTGACGGGGAATTTGCGCGCTGCAGCCGTTCGAGACGAGTGGGGGTTGAGCCCAGAGGTCGCAACCGGGTACCCGAAACCCGTACCCTACCCGATACCCGTACCCTACCCGATACCCGTACCCTACCCGATACCCGTACCCTACCCGATACCCGTACCCTACCTGATACCCGTACCCTACCCGATACCCGTACCCTACCCGATACCCGGCTACCCGTACCCGGCCGGGTACGGGTACCCATTTGCGACCCTGGTGCGGCCGGGTACGGGAAGGCCGTGAGTCACTGGTGTGTAACCGTTTGTCACTCATTTCGGGTAGGGTACGGGTACGGGTAGAGTACGGGTACCCGTACCCGGCCGGGTACGCAAATGGGTACCCGTACCCGGCCGGGTACGGGTACCCATTTGCGACCCTGGTGCGGCCGGGTACGGGTACGGGTAAGGAATCAAAACCCGTTTGCGACCTCCGGTTGAGCCCGAATGGGCCCCTCTCTCGTTTTGCCCCGTGCAACTCTCGTGTGACCCGCAAACGCTCGCGGGGTGGGGTTGGCCGTAAACGTCACAAACGGAACTTGGGCGCCGATTCCAGCTGCTTTGCTTCCCCGCTTGGCTGTGGTTGTCCCGGCGAGGCCTCCGCACGAATGCAGCGGTGCGTGAGAAATTCCACGGCGACGATTCGATCGGCGGTTTGCACGGATGGCAAACACCGTACAGCGGCCCCTCGGTTAACGATATTAATTGGTTCCACGAAAACCGTCGTTAATTGAATGTATCGGTAATCGAACGTATGAAAATACAACATGTATCTATTCACAAAAATGTATCGTGAATAATAATGGGACCCCTACGGGAGGCGGATCGGTAATCGAAATATCGTTAATTGATGGCATCGTAAACCGAGAGACCGCTGTATAACAGTAAAACCGTAGAATGGAAATAATAAAATAATAAAAATAAAACATAATAAAATAATTTTCACGACGTTTCGGCCACAACGCAAGCAGCCGTCCTCAGGTGGAGAACAGGTCTGTCTTCTCGACAGACCTGTTCTTCACCTGAGGACGGCTGCTGAGGACGGCTGCTTGCGTTGTGGGCGAAACGTCGTGAGAATTATTTTATTATCTTTTATTTGTATTATTTTATTATTTCCATTCTACGTGACTTTAATTTGAATGATAATTATTCTGATGAACGTCATCAGTTTTTCCTTTCGGTTTCGTTCCCGATGACGTACGCGTACGGACACAAGGGGGGGGGGGGGGGGCGTGTTTCGGTGACGTTGAGATCCACCGGTTTCCTGCAGGTCCCCTTGGGCATGCACACCGGCTGGGACCGCTACCAGCTGGAGATCCTCATGGCGGCCGGCCTCTCGGCCTACATCCTCAACTACCTGTTCGGGCGCAACAAGAACAACCAGCTGGCTCAGGCCTGGTTCAACGCCCACCGCAGCCTGCTGGAAACCAACTTTGCCCTCGTCGGTGAGTTTCATCGGACCCGTAGAGTTGCGTAGAGGTCCCGTGGGGTGAGCGCAAGGACGGCAAGTCCTCGCTTGCAACGCGCGGTGTTGGAAACGTGCGCGGTGTTGGCAACGCGCGTTGTTCGCAAACGCGGCGTGTTTTTGCTGTAACGTGGTTCTTCCATTCGGGAACACGGACTGCACGCCGTTAAAATGCGGGAACACGCGCCGTTATGGCATGGAATGTGCACCGTTATAACGCGGCTTCTGAGCAATCGACAACGCGGCGGCGGTGTACCCTCAGTGAATTGTCCCGCCAAATCACTGCCTGGCGTGCGTAGCGCACCGTATCTCGGCACACATTCACCGTCACGTTATTTGTGGGGAAATCGTTTCCTTTTTTTTTGGAACGCAATTGACCGCGTCCAACGGAAAGCAAGCGAGAAAGAGATGGCGAGAAGCCGCGCTTTGAGCCACCGCTGTTACCTCCCCCCCCCAACGCCTCCCCGAGTTGACGTAAAATGCCGATCGCTTTCTGAGTCTCGTCTCTTCTTATCGACCGCAACCGCTCAGGTGACAACGGCACGGACAAAGAGCCGACGAGCACCCTGCAGCTGGCCCAGGAGAACGACCACGTGTTCAGCCTGTGGTGCTCGGGACGAGCCTGCTGCGAAGGGATGCTCGTGCATCTCAAGGTAGGACTTTTTTGGGCCGAGTAAAGCGTCGACATGGCCGATGCCGGCTGCCGTTAAAGTAGCGACACGGTTGACGTTGTGAACCCTGGGATGCGTTGTAGCTGGCCTGTGAGTTGTTTTGTTGAAAAACAAAAAAAAAGTAGAGACACACCGGGGCAGCAACGGTAGTTGCGGCGATTTTGCGGGTCCGTGCAACACCCAAACTGTGGACTGTATAGTAAAGCCCACAGAGATGCGTAGAGGCACGTGGAGACTCGGTGGATATAAATGCGGTATACAGAGACACACAGACATCCGTACCGGGTATGGATGGCCCCTGGGGCGCGTCCCATGACCTCCTGCCTGCGTGCCTTCGACACTTCACGTGGCCTCGAAGTCCACGGTAGTCCGGCACAAGCGCCGTGCTTAACGTGGCCGCCACTTAGTGGCGAATGTCGGTCGTGGTTGTTGTTGTGTCACGCTAACATTGGTAACGATGCCTCCACCCCGACACAGCTGCTGAAGCGGCAAGACCTCCTGAGCCTGCTCACCCGAATGATGAGGCCGGCATCCGACAGCATTGTGAGTGTCTCTGGCCGGCGTGGCCGAGTGATGTCGCACACAGATCTCGGTCCGCATGCCTGACGGTGATACTGAGAGATGTAGGAGGCCGCCGGTTGTGGGTCAGAGGTCAGAGGGCTGAGGGTCCTGGGTTCAAGTCCAGGCAGCTGCCTGCGATTAAATCGGGTCCTCGTGTGCTAGTGAGTTGACAGTTTCAGTCTGGTCGCCCAATAACCGCACACAAAAAAAGAACCCATCGTCGGAAATGTGGTTCTGCACTCGACGTGGCAAAATTTTGGTCCCCCGACGATTGAATTACCGCCTTGACCATTGTGCGACGGGACCTCACTCTCACATGCAGTGTGAGCGAGAAGCGCCGCACCCTAACTGTGTGTGGACCAGAGGTCGCCCGTCTCTCGGATGTGGCCCTTCGATGAAATCCCCTTCCGCTGGCTGGGGCCGTTCTCCCAACAAAGGGGGGGGTGGGCGGGGGGGGGGGGGTTGCCACTGCTATGCGAGAATTTTCCGAAAGGGGTGCCTCGTCCCGTGACGCGAGGCCGATTGCACGGTTGGGATGCACATGGGGGAAAGAATTTCGGAAACAAATAACAAGGGTTGAGGGACAATTGTTTTTACGTAAAAACTTTTTTGGGCCATGGCGCACCAAGCGAAGAGTGAGGGCGGGGGAGGAGCATAAGTAAAGGATGTAATGAATGGGAAGAGAGGAAGAAAGGAACGGGAAAGGGAAGGGTTGCCCGGACGGAAGTTTCCAAACGACGCACAAGGGGGGGGGGGGGGGGGGGGAGCAACTGGGGTTCACAATGAAGCGGCAGGAAGGAAGAAAGAAATGATACAGACAACCAGGCCGGAAGAGGGGCAGAATGGAATGAGTGGGCCGAGATGTCGGGGATGAGAGGGCGAGGGGGGAAAGGAAGGAAGAAGAGAAAAGGAAGCAGCGAGCAGTAGCGAGCTGCGAAGTGGAGGAGCGGGGAGTGCGGGGAGAGCGCGCGGGTGGATTAGGGATGATCCGGAGTGCGGGCAACGAATGGAGGGACGGTCGAGCCGATTGAGACGGGAGATGTTGGACTCACCGCGTGTGGTGGGGTGCGTGCGTTCAACCGCATGTGACAGCACGTGAGCGTGACGATGAACGCGGAAGACATGGAGAGCTTGGTGTTCATGCTCGGCAGCAAGCGCACCGTTGCCAAGCTCCACAAGGAGCTGGAGGACCTGGTGAGTTTTGGTTTTGCTCGGCAAACATTCACCGGGCGAGACCGTCGTCCGCTCCGCAGTGGACGTTGAACGCGATAAGCCACTCCGTTGAGCTGCTATTTTTTTTTGCTGGGTCGTTTCTGACAAAGAAGCTAATTGATCAGTCGGATTTATCCGGTAAAATAAGTTTTAAGTAATTTACTTCGCTTACATTTCCTATACTTTGCACTCCGATCGTGTTTTTGCATTGTTTGTTGTTGTAAATGTCTGTGAAAGAGACCTTTATAGCTCATCCAGATTCCTCCAGTCTCAGTAAAGATTCTGAATCTGAAAGCGGGTTTGATTTCAGTCGCAAAAAAAAATCGGTGCTCACCCGCGAAACGATCGCCGATCAACAGAGAGATTAGTCGCAAGCGAGGCAGTCGACGTGCACAGCCCTCGAGCAACGTTACCGCACGCGTCGAGGGGTCTCTGTCGTCAAAGCGCGTCGCGTTGATCCGCAAGTCGTGCGAGGGGCCCATGGCGGTGGCGGCGTTGACCTTCCTCCCCGTGAACATGTCGTTCCAACCAGAGCCACTTTTGCCCGGAGAAGCCCAAGTCCGGCTCACGCTTCGGTTTGCCCGACTCGGTCGCCATCCTCAGCGAGAGCGGCGAGGTGTCCGACGCCATCCTGGACGACCGGGTAACCTCCACGGCGCGTCGCTCTGCTCTGAGAAGTCTGTAACTTTGTGTTTCCGTTTGTACTCGCAGCGTCCATGTGTTTTGTGTCCGTCCCTCCATCTTCTATCCTCCCTCCTTCCCTACTCCCCTCTCTCCTTACTCCCCTCCCTCCCTCCTACTCCCTCCCTCCCTCCTACTCCCTCCCTCCCTACTCATCTCCCTCCCTACTCCCCTCCCTACTCCCCTCCCTACTCCCCTCCCTACTCCCTCCTTCCCTACATTCCTCTCTCCCTACATCCCCTCCCTCCCCCTCCAGCCAATCCAGCAAAACTTTTTCCCCAATATCCAGTAACAAAACATTCACAGCAGCGCGTCGATGCGTGTGGGATGTCGAGCGACGCGGGAACCCAGCTCGACGCTGTGGGATGCGCGCAACGTCACCGCCGCGCGGGATTCGCGCGGTGAAGTCACCACCACAGTTGTCCAGCCAGAAACATCTTTTGTCGTATTATGGTATGATTAATACAGGCTTGCATACCGCACTGCTCCATGGGCACCTGCTCAGCGTACAAGAGATCAGCGAGGTACTGGGGTCATTTTGCAGCTGGCACCTGGTGTGTAACGAGCGACGACCTCGGTGTAACAAGCGTAACTTTAAATGTCACGGTTGCAAATGTTTGTAAATGCTGTGGATTTGCTCTCCAACACACCGGTGTGCTGTCCTAGTGACGAATTGACCACGTTCTATTTACGTGACAAACCTTACTGGTTGGCTGTGTCTGGTGGTGGCGGGCGTAACGACACACATTTATATATTTACGCGATCTCACCGAATGCAAATGTTTGCCTTGCAGATGGTCACCTTGCTGAAGAACAACGCGGAGAAAATCGAGTCCATGCACTTCTCCGATCAATACTCGGGAACCAAAATTGTTCAAGAGTAAGTGGGGGCACGGCGGGGGGTGGGGGGGTGGCGCCGGGGGGGGGTTGCACGTAGTCGACATCGTGCACCGCGCACGGTCGCCACCACCGTCGTTTACTAACGGCAGGAACACCTCATTTTTCTCGTCTTCTTTAGAGAGGGGCAAGCGGTCAAGCCGCCGGAAACCCAGAAGACCCTTTTGTTTACATTTAACGGTGAGTTTGGGTTTGCTCGGGGGGGGGAAAAAATAAATGTTTGCCAGTGGAGAGTTCCCACGATGGTGACGCAACGATTTGAAGGTGTCGCGGTGATGCGTGAAACGTGAACGTCGTGAGTGCCAACGCGTGTTTCGCATCGCAAGACTCACAAGACTTTGTGTGTGTTAGTTTGTGCGTCCTTCCCCGGCACCTCCGATTAGCACGGTGAGAAAGAAGTTGGACATACAGACAAGAGAAAAGCCCGGTTTGAGGTTATTTCATAAGACTCGGGGAGGATCCTGCTGTCGTGGGAAGACTCATGCCACTTGTTTCCCCAATTAAGTCAACCGCGGTGTAACCATTCCCCATTTTGGAATTATTTAAGCGAGCGATGCCGGTACGTAGAGCGGCCTTCTACTCGTCTTAGAATGACGCTACGAGGTCTTTTAAATGTTTTTTAATAATAAAATAGGTTTACAATTTCTCAGCTGTCTCCCCGACAGACCTGGTCTTCGCCTGAAGACGGCTGCTTGCGTTGTGGCCGAAACGTCGTGAGAATTATTTGATTGTTTTATTTTTATTACTTTATTATTTCCCTTCTACGTGACTTTACCGAAAGAACCAAGAAGATGAATCCCTGCAGTCACGAAAGCTTTAAATCGAAATTTAAGGTTTACATTTTTTATTATTATGACGACTCAACGCGAGCCCAGTACAAAACGCCGATCACACAACGGAGGGGGGGGGGGACAGAAACTCCCCAAACAGCAGCCCCTGATTTCGGCGCGACAGGTGCCCAACGAAGGGGGGGGGGGGAAATTGGGCTCACTGCCCCCACCCCGGTGTGGCGGGGGACCACGTGCGGAGACGGGAAGGATGGGGACGGCATGGCACTGGATTTTTCACGGTCGCTGTGAAGCGGATGACGCGTAGTATCACATGGTTAATACACAACCGCAGCATTAACCGGGGCGGCCCGCCGGATTCGAACCGGTCCAACCGCCTCTACCGCTGGGCCCCGGCAGTACTAAAGGTGGCCGGTTGTTCGTTGGGGATGTGCGCAGTGCCAGGGAACGGCAGGAGCTCCACCCAGGACATGGAGGCGATGCTGCCGCTCATGAGCATGGTCATCTACAGCATCGACAAGATGAGGAAGATCCGGCTCAGCAAGGAGGTGAAGACCCCACTCTGGCACTCGGGGGGGGGGGGGGGAGGGGGGGGGCGGCGGGCAGGCGGGTGCAGACGCGGTGAGAAGCGTCAGTTAAATGCTTCACTAAGAAGCCATCCGCGAGATGCGTCAGAAGCGTCGTTGAAAATCGTCGGTGAGAAGCATCGGCGAGATTCGTCGGTTAGAATCGTCGGCAAGATGCGTCGGTGAGGAGCGTTGGCGGGGAGCGCCCGGGGGGGGGAGAGTGCCCACGAGAAAGCGTCCGTGAGCATTTCCTCGTGCCGCGCCGCTCGATGTCGCAGGCCAAGCAGAAGGCGGACCGCAACCGCTCGCACGTGGCCGAGCTCTACCAGAGGCTGGGCCACGCGCAGAGGCAGGAGGCGGCGCAGACGCGGCGCGAGGACAAGCGCCGCGCGGAGAAGGAGCGCATCATGAACGAGGAGGACCCCGACAAGCAGCGCCGCCTCGAGGTGAGGGGAGGGGGGTGAGGGGGGTGGGGGACAAGGAGAGTGAGGGGGATGGGGCTGGAAGCGGCGAGATTTATTTTGGGTCGCGGGGTCTCCTCGGGTTCTCATGGACGACGGGACCTCGGGGAGCGATGGGCGGTGGATTCTTCCGTGTGTGTGTGTGTGTGCGTGCGTGTGCGTGGGTGTGTGTGTGTGCGCACTTTTGGTAAAACGCCGACCGTTTGAACGCCGTGTCCTGCCTGCAGGAGGTGCAGCAGCGCCGGGAGCAGAAGAAGATGGAGCGGAAGCAAACCAAGATGAAGCAGCTCAAAGTGAAGGCCATGTGATGGAGGTGGCAGAGAGAGGTAGGAAGAGAGAGGGAGCAGAGAGGGTGGAAGAGAGAGGGAGCAGAGAGAGGGAGCAGAGAGAGGGTGGAAGAGAGAGAGGAAGAGAGAGAGAGAACATGGTGCTCTGCCTGCCAGCCGTGGCATCGGCCGCAGGGAATTTTATTTTAAGCCAAGGAGGGTAAGGGGCCTGTACGGAGGGCGTGCATTGCTCCCTGTCCCTACTGCTGTTGATCGTTACAGTGGTAACAATTTGTATTGTGTCAAGACTCCAGCTTTCGTTGTAATTAAATTCGACCGAGAGTGGGAAAACTGCGTGTGGTAGTTGTGTTTTGCGACGCGGTTCGTGAAATGTGCCGGTGACCTGTGTTGTTGTTGTTGTGGTGGTGGGTGAGGTCACTCCGGCCAGGAAGAAGTGCTGTACGTGTGCTGTGCGTGTGTGTCGTTTAGTGTTTCTTATCTGGGCCATTGCCTCCTTGTGTGAATAAAAAAAAAATACAAGAATTATAATATCAGATGAATTGGATACCGAAAGAACTATGCAATTGTTTGGCAAACTACTGTAGAATCAAAAAGTTGTATACCTTTTAAAAATAGTTCCAAGCATTTCACACGGGGTGCGGGACACAAATTAGTTTGAATAAGAGATCTTTAATTACGTGACAATAAAAAAAAAATGTAAAAAAAAAAAATTGTTGAAATGTGATAACGCGTAATGAGAATATTGAGGGAAATGTCTCAAAATGATCATATGCAAGCGCAGGACATTGTTACTTTAAATGTATCGTTCACGCAGATGTCGATGGGTAATGAATGAGGCAATCGGACGCGCACGGCTGAGGATATGGGGAGGGAGAGACGTGGAGAGAGATACAGACACGCGGTGATAGAGACGAACATGGGGAGACAGATGAGATAGACACGGGGAGAGTGACACGGGGAGAGTGACACGGGGAGAGTGACACGGGGAGAGTGACACGGGGAGAGATGAGACGTGAGGAGATGGACACAGATATGAGGAAATGGACGCCGAGAAAGACGTGGAGAGAGAGGGAGAGAATACCAGGCGTTATATTTAGTGGTGGGCAGCGCAGGGCAGTGCTACAAACTCCCCTGTGGTGTTGTACAGCACATCTACGCCCCCACGTCATTCACCAACCTGCGGCGCACAGACGTGGGGCAGGCCTTCATCCAGCAGTGGATTGGCACCGAGGGCCGATACGTACACCGTAAGGGCAAGGGATTAGCCAGGTACTAGGGCTTCCACTTGAATGCCTTGGCATCCCAAAGCTTCATATTCTTAGGTTTTTTCGGTAAAGTCACGTAGGTGAAAAATTTAAATTAATAAAAGTAAAATGAGAATAAAATAAAAATCATGACGTTTCGGAGGCAACACAAGCTTCCCTCTTCAGGTGGAACCGTCACAGCACGATTGCTGTATCACTTGATACAGCTATCACTTGATACAGCTATCGTGCTGTGACGGTTCCACCTGAAGACGGAAGCTTGTGTTGCCTCCGAAACGTCGTGATTTTTATTTTATTAATTTAAATTAAAATGTTTTACCTACGTGACTTTACCGAAAAAACCTAAGAATATGAATCATTGCAGTCACGAAAGCTTCAAATCTAGAATCCCAAAGCTTCTTAACATCTGAACCATTCCCCGATGCCCTGAAGCTGCCTCGTCTATGGGATCCCCCCTACACCCACGTCCCTGCCCCCCAGTGGCAGCTGTCCCTACGGTTCACGGCAGCATCGGCCTCACAATGGGTGAGCATTCGAGTCTGCCAGGCGGGAGGGGGGGTGAACGTGCAAAGTTTTCAAATGTGTACTTTAAAAATGAAAAATAATGATGATTTAAAAATGTTTTGGCTTAGATCGCGTAAATGTATAAATGTGTCGTAAAACCTGCCACCACCTGACACAGCCAACTAGTAAGGGTTGTCACGTAAACAGAACGTGGCCAATTCGTCACTAGTACAGCACTAGTGTATAGTGTAGTATAGTAGTGTAGTGTATAGTGTACAATAGTGTAGTGTGTAGTGTATAGTAGTGTAGTGTATAGTAGTGTAGTGTATAGTAGTGTAGTGTGTAGTGTATAGTAGTGTAGTGTATAATGTAGTGTACTAGTACAGCACTAACCGGTGTGTTGGAGAGCCAAGCCACAACATCTACAATCTGAGTACGACGTTTCGCCAGTTATTACAACGAGCTTAAAAAAAACTCTTATGGATATTGGTCGCGAAAGCCTTGAAGTGTTAAACAATTCCAATTTGTAACGCGCATCGATTTCACTCGCCCCGAAGGCCAGCGGTGACACTGGGGCGCGGAGCTCAGCTCGGAGATCCGCTCAAGTAAAAAGAGTGAAATCAACAAAAGAAGATTCTAGATTTGAAGCTTTCGTGACTGCAAGGATTCATATTCTTAGGTTTTTTTCGGTAAAGTCACGTACGTAAAAAATGTAAATTAATAAAAGTAAAATAAAAAATAAAATATTTTATTTTAAGAAAAGTAAAATAAAAATAAAATATTTTATTTTTAATTTTACTTTGATTAATTTTTATTTTTTAACTACGTGACTTTACCGAAAAACCCTAAGAAAACAAAAGAAGATGTTGCGTTTGAGAATGCGCTTCAAGAAGGGGTGGGTAAAAAATTTACCCGTAAAAACAAAGTTTTTCACTATAAATCCTTTATATGCGTGGCGGCTAGAGTCCTCTCGTCCTCTGGCTTGAGATGGCTGCCACCTATGGGTCAGATGATTGCCTGCCATCATTAAGCAATTGGTAATTAAATATCATTTTTTTTCCCAAAAAGTGTAAAATTTAGGAAAAAATGTTTCACGAAAATTGTCACGCACAACGAGTCTGTGTGGAAAATGTCAGCTCGATTGGATCACGGGAAGTGGGTTAAAACACGACCGAAAGATTTGCACGGTTGTAAGCGCGCAAGCAAGCAAGCGCGCAAGCAAGCAAGTGAACTTAATATAAAGGATTTAAAAAGTCAGCGCTGCGAATGTGGAGTGGGGGGGAGGCGTGGTGGTGGCTGTGTTCCAGGTCGGAGGAAGGGCCGACGACTGGGAAAAACGACGCATGGCGATCGTGGTCCTGGATTCGCACGAATAATGTTGGCCCAACTTTCCGTGTCGGAGTTTGCCGTAGTATGTCACGATCGGCTATACAAGACCCGCGATATCGCGATGATCAACTATCGGTTTCTATACTCTTTGGTTCTTTCGGTAAAGTCACGTGGGTATAAAATAAAACAAATCGCGACGTTTCGGGTGCAACACAAGCATCCGTCATCAGGTGGTTTCTCTTCAAAGCTGCAATTATGACTTTTTTTTATCGCGTTGCGTTTTGTGCTTTTCTGTACTCGGAATAAAGATTAATCGAGCGGCTCTGCAATGGGAAGATCGCTCGACGCACGGATGAGACAAGTCTTCTCGCTGTTGCAACTTTGAACACAATCCGTTTCGCACATGCGCTGCTGCTGTAATACGAGAACGATTACGTCACACCGTATTACGTCACGGTTACATCACGCCGTACTATGTCACGAGAACGATTACGTCACGATTGTCACCATTGCATTGGGATTTACCCCAGTAAAACAGTTTATATTGGTAGGAACCTCCTGGTTACACCAGCCCACAGGGGATTATTGTGTCCGTCCATCGTGCATCCAAAAATGGGAGGGGTGGAGAGGGGAGGGTGGGGAGGGGAGGGTGGGGCTGGGTGGTGGGAGGGGTGGGGGTGGGTGGGGAGGGGCTGGGTGGTGGGAAGGTTGGGGTGGGAGGGGTGGGGCTGGTCACCCCGTGGTGCCCTTATAAAACGCAACGTTTAATCTACTCACGCCGGCTTGTGCCCGCCCTCACAGGCATATTTGCGGAAGACACCACGCCGCCGTTGACCCTGGCCATTGACCGAGCAACCCGACGTTCCTACCAGCTCCCTCCGCAGGAATGTGTTAAAGCGCCGCTTCAATTAAATAGGTACCGTACAGTGGCTATTTACTTACAATTAATTTTTGCATTCGGCGTTCCAGAAATGTTTTCCTCCGGAAAAGCCGAAATTTACAAGAAACAATACGATCATCACAAAATGTATCAGTCCAGTGTGGACGATACGATTATCGTCGATCTGGTATCGCATGATATCGCGAGCTGTGAGGCTTAGCTTGATTGCACATTCTACAAAACCAATGACGTGGTCTCCCCTCACACGCATCCCCCTTCATCCCCCTAAAGCCACGTGGTCCTCACTTTACCAAACCCAACCACGTGCCAGGCTACGTGCACGTTAAGGCCACGTGACGTATCGAACGCCCGCTGGCAAGGTCACGGGACAGACCCATCAGGTGCCACGGGTTGACCGACTGAGATGACTTGCTGGTCGATTCACCAGCTGTTCTCCCTACTGTGCCAAAGACCAACCAATAACCAACGCCCTCCATTCGCCACTAATAAACGGTGACGTCACCACGGTGCCTGTGCCAGACCAGGTGCACTTTGAGGCCACGTGAAGTGCAGAAGGCTCGCTGACAGGAAGGTCTCGGGGCAGACCCGGGTACCATGGGTTGGTCGACTGAGATGACCGGTAAATGCACCACCTGTGCCCCCTACTGTGCCAAACCCAACCAATATAACCAACGCCCGCCATTTGCCACTCAGGGACCGTCCATAAAGGACGTCACACACCTGGGGGAGGGGGGTCAGACATTTTTAACGAGGTGGGGTTTTAGAAATGTGACGTCACATCAAAATGCGCAACTTTAAATACATATAAATGTTTTCTCCTACAACATCAGAGTGCAGCGCCACATTAAATACGCACTACAATGACAATAGTTTAAAGCGATTTGAAGCATGTTTTATTTTGGGGGGGGCGGGCAGAGCTTTGTGACGTCATATTTGAGGGGAGGGGTCTGACTTTTTGTGACGCCGCGTGACGAGGGGGAGGGGGGTCAAAAATCGTCCAAAATCGCGTGACGTCATTTATGGACGGCCCCCTCAGTGACGGCGATGTCACCACGGCGCCCGTGCCAGGCCAGGTGCACTTTGAGACCACGTGGCAGAGGTCGCAAACGGGTTTTGATTCCTTACCCGTACCCGTACCCGGCAGCACCAGGGTCGCAAACGGGTACCCGTACCCGGCCGTACCCTACCCGTACCCGGCCGGGTAGGGTACGGTCGGGTACGGGTAGGGTACGGGTATCGGGTACCTGATTGCGACCTCTGGGATGAAGCCATGTTGCAGGCGTGGGTGGGTTGATTCTAGGAACTTGAATTGTGAGAAGAGACAAGACGTTAGGAAATGAGTGACAAACGGTTACTCACCAGTGACTCACGGCCTACCCGTACCCGGCCGCACCAGGATCGCAAAAGCGGATACCCGGTCCGGGTAGCCGGGTAGCCGGGTATCGGGTAGGGTACGGGTATCGGGTACCCGGTTGCGACCTCTGCCACGTGGTTTCTCACCGTCACATCCCCCCCCACACACACACCCGGAAACCACGTGACTCAGCTCGCCACACCCCCTCACCCCCTCAACTCCTCCCACTCCGGGTGTCACGTGGTCGGAGCAATCGGCCCGTGCGAGAGATCGGAGGAGGAAGATGGCGATGGCGGGCGAGAGTTTGATGCGGATGGAGGAGGTAAAACAGCGGGCCGCGGCCGGCCGCCTGTGCCTCGTCATCCACGGCAAGGTGTACGATGTCAGCGACTTCGCCGCGGAGGTGAGGCTG